ATTTGCAAACATCCCTCTCTTTTCTCATGGGCCTTTTTCTTATCAGTTATAAATATTCTTCACCAGCACCCTAAACCCAGAAAGACCAAGATAAGTAAGGTTCAAAAATGTCAATGGTTATTTTTTATAATGGAGTTCAAGGGGTGGGGGAGGATATTGACACCCTCAAGACTGACCAGATTGGACAATCCTAAAGAGACAGAGGCACTGACCTAATGGAGAAAATGTCAGCTAACTCCCTCCCCGGCCCCCCAAGAGACTAGGAACATCAGTGGCTTGATTTCTTCCAAAGAAGGAGCAAGTCCCTCCCCTTTCTTATGGGTACAAGTACTCTCATGGAGCAGATGGACTTCACAAATAGTTTTCAAAGGCAAGGTCTAGGTCAAACCAATCAGAATGGGTGACTGTCCTACTGGGGTGACAGCTCCCACCACACCTTTCTGCGAGAAAGGCCAGTGGGCCCCTCTTGCTCTTCAAGAACAGAGCAGTGGGTCCTTAAAGACTAACGTTTTGCCACACCACATACACAGCAACATATTGGACCCCATGGTACATATGCGACCAAGTTTGAAAGGATCCCTCCGAGAGCATGTGCATAACAGGCACCCAAACCAGACTGGAATCTGCTCTCTTCTCCAAAAGGCATCATTTTCTCTTTTACAATGGAACAGAGCATCATCTCAGGGAAAACATACCTTCACACTTAGGTCTGTTTTGAAAAGAAGAAATTAAAAGGAAAAAGCAACTGGAAGGAGTGTGAGTACATGGGAGATGAAGAGAGGAGAGGAACACGGGACAAAGGAGAGGGCAGGCAGGGATGGGGAGGGGAGAGGAGGGGAGGGCACAGGTGTGGCGGACACGCAGGTTTGCTCCTACCAAAAACACATTCATCCCACTAAGGTAGAGAACAAGGAAAACATTTTGATTTTCTTTTCCAGCAGTCGAAGCATAAATGGTTGCTTCAGTAATACCAGAAATTATTGGTCATTTTGAGCATTCTTGCTAGTGAGAACTCAGCATTCCAGCCAATGTGAAATACTGGCCCCAAGGTGTCCTAGATATTTTGTTTTTCAAATGCAGGAATGTCAGCTGCTGGACAAAAAGTGATGTATACTGTCTAGTAGGCAGCATGCTGGCCAGACACCAAACTTGGAATGTGTCTCCTGGTCCCCTGGGTTCCAGCTCAGCCACCCTCTGTAGCCAGTGCTACGCCCAGAACAAGGATTCTGCCCAGGAAAGAGCAAGAATGTGAACGGTATTTAAACAAAACTGAGTTTTAAGCCGTCACCTCTACAAATGTTTCAAGAAGCTAGCCCAAAGCCAAGGCAAGTTGGAGCTCAGTGGGTCTCTTCTTAAGGAAGTTGATTACTTCTAATTCCCTTCTAGTTAAGGCCTGTCTGAAGGGAGCCTCGAAAGCCCCCCAAATTAAATGTGGCCAAGCCTCATATTTTATGAGCTTTTAAAAAAGGTCTTCTCAAATACATAAAATGGCATAACCACTCTAACTTCAATCACATGCTTATGAAAGAAAACAGCATTATGAGTTGACAAATTGGTAAGGCATATATTTTGTCCATATGGATTTTTAAAGTGTACCTATGACATCAGATGAAGCCTACAGAGACCCTTCATTTTTAAAATTCTTCTAGTGAGGTATAATTAACTTGCAATGTTATGTTAGTTTCAGGTTACAACATACTGATACAATAATTCCATACGTTACGCAGTGCTCACCACACAAGTGTCATCACCATTTATCACCATACAACATTATTACAATATTATTGACCAAATTCCCTATGTTGTGCCCTCCATCTTTGTGACTTTTTTATTTTATAATTGGAATTTTGTATCTCTTAATCCCCTTTATGTATTCCACCCATCTTTCCACCTGGGATCCCCCACATTAAACCAAATAGCAACTCACAAACATCCCAGCCTGACTTGCAGGTCCCAACCTTGACCATGAGGCAGCATCACCATTGTCCCCAGCCTGCACCATGGTGGCACTCACTCGGCCTACAGCATCATTGTCCTACACACTGTGCACTTTCCCATAACACCACTACAGAATTCTCCATGGAAGAGGCCCTTGGAATTTTCCTATCATTTGGAGGAACTCCTATAATCCATATGAGGATAATCATAATAGGAGAGACAGCTGCCAACATGAGAAAGGCATGCGTCCCAGCTCCTTTCTGTGCATGCCGCTTTGCTAACCATTCACTGTCTCCCCTCTCTCACAGGAAGGGTTACTACCTGTTATTCATTCACAGGAATGTTGCTACATGTCATTCATAGCCTGCCCAGACAAAATGGAAACAGCACATACGTATCTTCCATGTGTGTAAATCACCAGAATCCTTACACTAAATAAGAGGTGATCTGTGGGGGAGGGGAAACGGTGAGAACACTATAAATGTTTCTAGCCTAGAACCTGCTTCCAAGAACGGTGTTGCAACAGCGAAGCAGAAGGAGAAAACTGGTGTGAATTGATAAAACAGCAGTTTATCCACTCTCTGCACTGCTACTGAGCAATGTTCTGTGGTCCCAAAGTTATTTTCTAAACTTGTGACTGACTTCATAATTGATAAGCATTTGTAACATAGTGCTTCTTCCTTTAAGCAGGTAGAGCAGATGAAATGTCCTAGTAACATATAGTAGTCCTACGCCCCTCTCCAAACACTTTGGTGTTCTTCACATTAAAATTTGGCCTCTTTGGAAAATACATTAAATGTAAAGCCCATAGAACACAGAAAACACTAGAAACTGGAAAAATGGTCACATGAAACCGTGATGTTGGATCCTATGACTCCAGACAGACATGGGCCACTTTGATGTGCCTTTCATTATATAAATTATCTGCTATTTAAACATTATTCTTTATATCACAAACACAAAATATATGTGCTCAAAGAATAAAAGAATAGGTAGACAATCCATAGTTATGTATTATGAGTACAAATTACTGAACTGAGTTATTTTTTCTAATAACAAGTTTTCAGAGAAATATTTTCTAAAAATAAATTGTGTCATTAATATGAAACAAAGAGCTAATAAAAGGAGGGCAAAATAAGTAGCACAAGCAGTTCCAAGCTTAACCAACAAAATAATAATGTTTAAAAGAATGAGGCATCATACCTCCTCCCTGAAGCCATAGTCTGTTAACTTACAAGTAGCACTAGCAACAACTTGGTGTCATACAACCATTTACAGCATAAATTCAAAATGATTAATAAGAATTCGGGTATACTCTATAATCTAATAACTATTTCTAAAGCTCCTAGCCTCATTTTTTTCATTTATTCTCATAATAATTGACTAAATGAGAAACACTGATTCATGTCATACTAAGTTTATTTCTAATCAAGATAAGCATTAGGTGTCTGATCAACATAGCCCTCGTCTTCTATAAGGCACCAGAAAAATATAGTGTTTGAACAAAAGTAGCTAACTACTATAGTTTTACATCCAAAAGTCCAGCTCTCCACATGCAATGTACAGAATTTACAATTGCCACCCCTTGCATACTATAATATTAAAAGAATACCAAGCAATGAAAACATTATAACTTATTTAAAAACACATAACTGCCCTCCAAATAGCCTTCTCAGAACAAACTCTATATAGAATGGGTGGCAAATATCCAGTTTTTTCAACTGATGTAGAAATACAATAGTAATAATTTAGGCTCAAGTGGATTATGTTCTTAATTTATCCAGCTGGGATGCTTTAAGTCTAAAATAGGCAACTAATCTCCAATTTTTATTTCCTATCATACTGTGTTGTCCCAGACACATAAAACAGTACTGTCTGTAAGGGTAGAGAAAAAAACGCTAACATTGTGTCAGGATGCCCATGAACCTTCACATTAAAGCAATAACAATATTCCCTCAAACACATATTCACCACCACCTCTTAATGATTTTGGCCCACATAGCAGGAGAGTTTCGATTTAGTACAGGTCAAGGTAGCATACAGCTTTTCAGCTGTATTCATGAAAGAACACAGAGAAACTATCCCAGACTCCTCAGTGGGCTCATGCTAATTAGACCTTTAACAATTTTCTTGATTCCAAGGTATGATTTCCTTTTTGTCACTGCTAACATTAACTAAAGAAATCTTGCCCAATAAGCACTACAGATAATATGCTAAAGAAAAATAACCCCACCATAAAATGCAATAGAAATGATTGGTACAGAAGTTAAATAAAGAATATTGCTTCCTTAATTTTAGTACTATTGTTGGTTGTGACCAGAATGAAGTTACCTAAGCAACCACTCTAAAGCACAGACAATATTCAAATGCATTTGTATTATGGTAGCTCGGTGTCTAGAAGTTTGTTGCTGATAGCATTGGTATAAAATGTATAAAACCGTCAGATCAGTTCGTGGGGGAAAAAAAAACTGAATATAAAGATTTATTTAATCGTCATATGGCACTAAAATACCCATAAACAAAATCATAAAAATAACCCAAAGTAAAAATTTAGGCTAAGACCAAAAAAAAAAAAAGAATTGTTTAGTCACAAGAGTCACAAGTACAATCTTTAATAAACCAACCATAGATTCACAGGCACATTCACTTTTGTCACGGAACTGCAAAGCATATAACATGTTATACATTTACATAATCCTTACAACACAAATGCTTAGGGGGAGTATATGAAAAAGCTTCTAAAAACTATTACGGATGTTATAAAATCACATGTATAACAAAATATGTGGGATGCCCAAACTTGCTGATATTGCTGATTGCAGATTAATCTATGTGAAATCAGCAGGGAAAGGAGTGGGCAGAGCATGGCTGGCCTCATTTACTTCATTGTGCGTCTACACAGTGAGAACACCAGATTATCTTCAAGTACAGTGTGCAGCATTTGGCAATTTGGGAAATCCACGAGGCCACAAAACTGATATACACTCTCCCCTGGGGGGGGGGGAACAAAATCAAGGAAGCCAAAACTTTCCCTTTCTCCAAGAAACTGAAGAAATTCTTACCTTTCTGTACACCAGCATGTTGGGTGACTCGTCTGCCACCCCGTTGCTAGTCTGCCCGTAATTATTCCCCTGGGCCATGTCACCCCACACTTGGTCCGCTCTCAGATACTGGAATTACCGGTCTGCGCGCTGCAAAGGGTTAGGGAGACTTCAGTCAGGTGCGAATGGCGGTGCTCACGGCGGGGGGTGGGGGGGTGACTTGAATCCTCTTCATAATCCACAGCACCCACCCCACATGGCACATACTTACATGTCGGGGCTGGCTGGAGGAAGCGGCACAGAAATCGATTTAAAAAAAAAAAAAAAAAAAACTGAATTTACACCTACAGTACCCTCAGGGAGTTGTAAGAAATGACAATCTTTTAGTTAGAATATTCATTTGGCTATGGTTTTAACTGACTTGATCTTCTGGATACTCATCGTAAGAAGTATTTGATGCTCCCCTAAAAAACCCACGGTCACCATTTCTGCGCTCCAGAGTTGTCTTGTCTCCCAATACTTGCATCTCGACTCGATGATGTTTTCCCAAAAGGGCGGAAAGGCAGCACCCTGTGGCGGCACACTCGCTCCCAGGTATCTGGTTACTTTCCCCCCAGGCAGCGCCTCAGACAGGCCCATTCCGGCGGCATTCTCCCTTCACTCCCCCGGGTCTCCCACACGGAGCCGGAGGAGCTTCGCCCACTTCCACCTGCCCGCACTGCCCGCCACTGGGTCCCCCCTCCGCTCCACTCCACTTCGGAAGTCAGGACGGAACCCTGCCCAGTCTTCGCCAGAAGGCACCAGAATCCGTCCCGGCCACAGGAGCTGGTGGGAGTCGACCCTTCGGGCAACCACCTGGGTCGCCGTGGGTAGCAGCCTGGCTGCAGGAACCTGACAGCAACCAGCCCAAGAGGAGCAAACCAGCGAGCCCCAGCTCCCGCCGCCGGGCTCTCCCGGCGGTTCAAAAGGAAGCAGTTTCAGCACCGCGGACCTGGGCGAGCGCGGCGCCCGCCGCCCGGCCGGGGCGCGGGGCGCGGGGCTCCCCGGGCGGCCGCGCGGCGGGGCGCCGAGCGAGGGTGGGTGCGGGGCGGGGGCGCGGGGCGCGCGAGGTGGCGCCGCCTACCCCCCTCCCACCACCCCTATTTACCTCCTCGGCCAAGGTCACGGCCCCGCGGCGTCTGCCCTCGCGCGCGGGCTGGGTGCCGGCGCTGTCAGCTGGCGGCAAGCGGAGCAGCGAGGCAGGGCAGCCTCATCACACTCGGCCGATGATGCGGAACCGCGCGGCTCAGGCGACCGCCGCCGTGCACAGGCAGCCCCGGCAGCCCGCCGCTCGCGCCCGCTGCCCCCCCTTCCCGCCGCCTGGCCGGCCCGCGCCCTCCGCCGCCTCTGCTCCCGGGCACGGGGACCCGCCGAGCGCGCGCGGGAGCCGAGACGCCGGCCCGTGCGCGCGACTGGGAAGCAGGAGGAGGGGCGGTCACGTGGGCCGGGCGGCCAGGGGTGCGGGCTCCTGGGCGCCCGGCTCCGCGCGGCCGGCCCGCGGGCCGCCCCACTGGCGGCCCTCGCGCCCCGGCCCCCGCGGGCGCCCAGCCCGCCTCGCCGCCGGTGTCCGCGCCGCGGGCGGCCTGGGGATCCGAGCTGGGCGGCGAGCGCCAGCCGGAAGGGCAGGGCGGGCGGGCGGATGGAGGGACGGAGGGATGGAGGGAGCCCCGCGCCGCCGGCGCGTTTCATCACGTGCCTGCTGACTCCGCTGGCGGGGCGAGGGCAGCAGATGATTGATTATCGCTGTGCTTAAATGACGAGAGTAGAGAGATACTGAGAAGCCCTAGGAGTGAAGGAAATGGCCAGGACCAATTGAGCCGCTCAGCCGGCTGCCTGCGGCTTTCACAGCTTCCTCCTAAGTTTGAGAAATGGGAACCGATTTGGAGGCTGCCAACTCGAGCCGGAAACCTTGCCACCTGTGAAACCGAAGGGCCATCCCCGCTGCGCGCTGCCTCCTTGGAAGGGAGGTGCTCTCACCCTATCGCAGGTTTCAAAGAGGGCCTGGGGTGCTGATCCCCCGGGATTAGTCTTCAAGTCGCTGTCACGAATTCCTCTGTAAGGATTAGAACGACAGGAAGAAGAAAAATCACTGCTGTCCCAATTACAGTAAGGAAACTTGTGTCTCTGGCTTTCCGGGTCAGATTTGGGAAGCTATAAATGCCTGAAGTTTTCTTTCCTCAGCTGGGCCAGGTGTGGGGGAGAGATAGAAGATAACCAAGACAGCCCCTTCCTAACCCCCTAGGTCCAAACAGAATAGAAGTTACCCCTGGTAGGGACGATGAGCACACCCAGAGCCATGTGGTGCAATGCATTTCCCCAGTCCCATCCGGGGAAAGCAGGTTTCACCCAAGGAACAAAGGTATCTGACCTATCTATCCTCTGTTCTAAACACCAAAGGGCAAAGGTTACTATCCCACTGCTTTACACACACCCTAGTCTGACCCATCTCCCACTCCTCCCCAGTTCCCAAAATTTCTGCATTGTGTGCTCTGGAAATTATGCTGTTTTTCACCAAAGCTGCCATTTTTAAAAATTCTTCTCTACTATTTCCTTAACTTTCTTGCTGTAGCCAGACCTACCTTTTCCCCTTCAGACCCTCTCTCTTCCCCTTTGCTCAGTCGACTTCTGGGAACTTGACATGAATGGAATTAATACATTTGGAAAGAATAACTGGGCATGCTCACTCAGTTTGACCATTTTTCCTCTTAAGGAGGAACTGCCTGAATGAAGGAAGCAGGTTTCCTCCTTTGCATCACTAGACCAAGGTTGTAACCCCCTTGGGGGCCCTGCCCATGGACTCAGCACTGATGGATCATTCTCATCAATGAGCAAACTAACAGATAGATTAGAGCCAACTGTATATATTTTATACACAGGGTGTAAAATACAGCCCAGCTTCATGGGACCCCATCCATCTATCCATCCATCATACAGATATATGATATGTATATCTATATCAACATATATATAATCTTGCATAAGGTATCTATATGTAGATATAGCTATGTATAAAATTTCCCTTGACACACTTTCCACTTATTCCTGCCCTATTTTTTGGCTTCCTTTGGCACCAAGAACTTCCTCTCCTTTTATTTTGTCTTGAGCCCATTCTATTCTGTCAACAACCTCCATGTTACTAAACAAATAGTGAATTCTCAATTACCATATCAAATGCCTTTTCAGCAGAAGTAAGTTTATCTCTTTCACATTCTCAAAAATGTTCTACATTTGTCTGCTGGGACACCACTGTCTATTATTTCTCCTCTGCATTACTGGTTGCTATTTCTCAAGCTATTACTTGCTCTTCTTTACCTTTTTCATCCCTAAATTTCGGAGTGCCTCGGATCTCAATCTTTGGGCCTCTTCTCCTCTCAACTTATATGTACTCCCTACATGAGCTAAATCAGATTCCTACTTTTAAATGCTACTAATAACTTTCAAATGTGTATGTAGGTCCATGCTCTGAAATCCAGTCAGTCAAGCACCTACCTAATTAACATCTCTACTTGGATATCTAACTGGTGTCTGATTCAGCTTCATGATAACAAGGATATTGTCTATTTAAGATTATATTTTTATGTATTTGAGAGAGAGAGAAAGAGGGAGAGCATGAGCAAGGGAAGGAGCAGGGGGAGAAGCAGACTCCCCGCTGAGCAGAGAGCCCAGACTGACTTACGCAGGGCCAATCCCAGGACCCTGGGACCGTGACCTGAGCCAAAGGCAGATGCTTAGCCAACTGAGCCACCCAGACACCCTGGATATTGTCTGTTTAGCTCATGCCATATATCCCAGGCATAGTACAGTTTCTAGCCCACAGTAGATGCATGTTAACTAAATGAATCAATGTATCAAATGACAATAATTGATACATAATTTTTATATTTAGTAATACATTGTTTACATTATTATCTCATTTAACGCTCTAAAGCCCTAGTTATAACTGTCATATATTTTACATCACTACACCAATAAGGAAGGGAAGGATCAGAAATGTTAAGTAAACTGCCCCATACAACCCACATAACCACTAAGTGGCTGTGGTAGTTTGTACCGAGTCAACTTGATTAGCTGGAACTACATTTCCCAGCATCCCTCTCCCTGTATTCAAGTGAGTAGAGGAATTTGTGCAAGTTTGGGAAAACAAGAGTAGGACAGCACCTATTCCTCTCTGAAGGTCTTTGCAGTTTGTGTGTTGGCACCTGCTGAGTCCCAGAAGTTTCTCGCATGTCCTTGTTCTCCCTCACTTCACATTCAGATTGTCCAAGTTCTTTCCCCTCCTGAGCAAGAGTAGCCCCACACACTTCACAAAAGCCTGAATGTGGACCTACAGAGGCAGCAGCCACACAAAGACCACAAATTTTCATTGACTTTTCTGCCAGCCCCACCTCATGGTCTCCTTCCTGCACCTGGCCATGCCTGGCCCCCCAGCTTCCCCAGTAAGCTTCAACTTGCCCATCCACTTGCCTAAGACCCTAGAGGGGGTTAGTTGTGTCTTTTCTCAGATCTTTCAATTCTTTATTCTGGAAAATAACTTCCCCAGCTTCCCTCACAATTATGTAAGGTTTCGTTCCCATAACACACCCCTTCCTCCATTGTTTTCATAGTGCTTCTACTTCTCTGGTTGAGTGGCTAGGGCAGAGTTCAAATCCAAGTCTTTCAGTCCTTTTCACTATTCCACAAGAAATCCAAGTTAGAGGGACAAAAACCTTGAAACCAATGACACATGAGAATGCAAAACTGAACTATGAAAGCATGAAAGGAGTTGATGTTCCAACCAGGCTCTTCAAGGACTATTAGGAGGTCTACATGGGAAGGAGTTTCTAGTAAGGCACAAACGCAAATTCTGAAGCCCATTCGGACAATTACTATAATAAAACTACCATTTCTTGAAGTCATAGTATCTCTAAACACATTAAAATATTCTCAACATTTTTGACAAAATTCACCCCAAAAGCAATGTAAGGAATCTGATGTTCAAGTTAGGAAACTTGACCATGATTGTATACCTTCTAAATATCAGAGTCTGGACTCAAACACACTGCTGTGTGACTCCAAAGCCCTCTGAAAAACATGTGAAAAATGCCTCTAGCAGCAGAATGAGTTTTTAAAGATCTGAGGATCTCCCACGGAGACGCCTGTCATTCTATTTTCTGTTTCATCTGTCCTCTCACCTGTCTTCCTTCCATACACCTAATGCACACCTTTCTCTCTGGGCATTAATGACTCAGGGTGGTTTGTGGCTACTTACAGTTGCAAGGCAAATATGGGAGAAGATTCAAGGAATAGCATAGTTCACCATTTCTTCTCCTGTTATGGTTAAGCCTCATTAGACAGCTCATCATTTGTGTTATTGTGCATTGGGACCAAAATTATGTCCATCATCTTAATGTTCCTGGGACTCACATTTTTTCCATATATAACCCTAGGGAATTAGACTAGATTATCTCTCAAAACCCATCTGGATCTTAGAACATAAGATTTTAATATGTTCTCTTTTGTACTTTGCTCATACATAATGGCCCTTTATGTTGTAAACAGCAAACAGCATGGATATTGTGGGATATTTTTCTGTTCCTTTTCATTCTAAAACCATGTAAATATGTGATCCTCAGTTATCATCATTCAAAATCATTTTTTATCATTTTCCTTATGGACCCTATGTTTTGTGATATTTCCGTCAAACAAATTAAATTGTAAAATGTAATAATGCACCTATTTTTCTATGCCAGATAGAACTTCTAAAAAGTAAAAGCCCTGTTACTTCACTCAGTAAATATAACCCCCCCCCATAGCGATATTTAAAGCTTTCGTTGTTGTTGTTTTGTTTGTTTGTTTTTAGCTTCAGCAGTCTTATCTTGGAAAAAAGTAGAATGTGATTTGTATTTTTGAGATATTGGACATAGTTGTAGCAGTTTTCTAGGACTGTTGTAACAATGTATCACAGACTGAGAGGCTTAAACAACAGAAATGTATTGTCTCATAGTTCTGGAGACTAGAAGTCCAAAATCAAGGTGTGGCAGAGTTGGTTCCTCCTGAGGACTCTGAAGGAAAGATTTGTTCCAGGCCGATCTCCTTGGCTTGTACATGGCTATCTCTCCCTGTGTCTCTTCACATTGACGTCTGTGTTTGTCTCTGTGTCCAAATTTCCCCTTTGTATAAGGACACCAGTCATATTGGATTTGGGGCCACCCTACTGACCTCATTGTAACTTGATTACCTCACTAAAGACCCTACCTCCAAACAAGGTCACACTGTGAGGTACAGGGGGTTAGAACTCCAAAATTATCTTTTGGGGGGATGACACCATGTAACCCATAACAACAGTGTATATTTTTGCAAATCATTAGGGGCTCTAGGATTCCTGAAGTGTGAACTACCTCCTTCCCTCCTTTCATTAAACAGATACTTGTTTATTTGTTGTGCATGAAAATGTGTTTTCATATATATGTGACATAACATATACATATGAAGTATATATAAAGAACATAAAGAAATAAAATAGGTGACTTTTGCCCTCAAGAAATTTCCAGTCTAGTTCAGAGGATAAAAT